TGAGCGAAGTGCTACCATCAGGAGAAGCTTTATGAGTTAGTGAAGTAGGTTTAGAGGGTGATTATGGTTACCAACTTAGGATGTGAATAAGGCGGTTGATTGCGGCCCAAAGTCAAATAGTTCATCTCTTCCTGTCTGTATGCACTCTGCAGTATATATATACACCTATTGTGTTTTGAATAGTGTTGCTAGGTGGATACTCCTCATGTGTATTGGTTTGCGTTGAGTCCACACCTTCCAAACCCTTTGGAAACGGAAGTAGATGTATACATTAAATCTTAATATCATTGTTATGATGTCTGAGAATACAGAACTTGTATCAGTCAAGGGTTTACGTGGCCTACTATCTTATTCCGGTCATGACGAAGGTGAAGCTTAGTTGTTCATATGACATGAATGTCGTAGTTATCGGTTGGAATGGTGATTGATATTTCTACTTTGCCAGAATCTGGTCACGTCTATGGAGTACAAATTGGGTGCACCGGGCCATCGCTTTGGAGAAGGCCTCACAGGCGGACTTCTCCAAGGCAGATTGCAACTGGGACGAAGGTCAATCAGAACAAGGAGATGAGATAGTGGAGAGAGGAATAAACAAGACCAACGCGAGTCTCGGAAAGGAACAATAATAAGGCAGGGGATTGGTTTAAGTCTACAGATTGCATTTCGAGACGAATGGGGAATTAGTCAGGGGATGTGCTTGAAGGATATATTTTTGTGAGTTCGAGAATGAAAAGAAACACGATATGCCGGGTGAACCAATAAATGATGCAATGAAATGATGGATGCAAGAAAACAGGGGACAAGAGTCGATGGAGTCGAATGGTTTTACCAAGTTCGGAGTTGATACAGCGTCAATGAAGGGGTATGTACGAGATGAGCGTTCGTGTTCAAAGGAGATTCTAGGGATTAAGCACTGTCCGTTGGTGACTTTTGGGTGCCATTGGGTTCCCATAGGATGCCCTCGATTTTTGCGGTGACAGCGGCGGGATAGAACCTGGCTCTCATCCTTTCTAACAAGGCACCAGCTCGCTCGCGGTCGCCGACGCTTAGCTCAGCCCTGACCATAGCCTCCCAAGATGATGGCTATAATCATGTTAGCAACGGTAAAAATTCAGAGAGAAAATTTCTCACCTCTCGGTAAACTGGATCCTCTACGTGACCATCGACTCGTCCGTTCATCTCACGAATTGCAGGTGGACGAGTGTCATTGCCCATGTAGGCATGCGGAAGGTGGTTGTTGGGAGCGGCGGCACCGGCTTGAGGGTCCTTCATCTGCTCAAAGATTGCTCTTGCCCTGTCGATTTGGCCACCCGCAGCGTATCCTTTGATGAGGAGGTTGTAGATGTAGGCAGTTGGGCGAACGCGGTCGACGCTGAGCATGGTGTCAAAGTAGCTCTGCATGAGGTCGATACGGTGATGGGTGACGACAACCGATAAGAGAGCCTCATAAGCCAAGACGTCTGGAAGAGGGGCACTGGCGGCTCCATGGAACAAAGAAGAGCGAACTGGCTTCTTCAACTTTCGGAGACCTTCGAACACTTGGAGAGCACCGTCCAAGTCATGCATGGCGCATCCCTTGGCGGTGATCAATGACGAGTAATGGTTACCAGTGACGTCCATTCGTCGGTTCTTCATCGATTGTATGATTTCTTCCATTCGTGGAATGTCGACAGGTTCGATCTTGCCGTACACATCGAGCATGAGCTACAAGGGGGTTAGAATCATGTATAAATGGAGGGGTATAAAAACTTGCCTTATACGTATAAGGAGTCGGCTCAACACCGAGGCGTTGCATCAGGTTAAAGTAATGCATCGCCCTCTCCCTATTTGGCTTGACGTGCGTGTACAGCTGCATCATCGTATTGAACGGTGGGATCCTTGGTCGGTAACCACTCAAGCCCCTCATC